GTCCAATGTAGAAGTCTTGAGGACACAGAATTGGAAAGTGGGAAAACGTTCTACTGAAAATGTTACCCAATCTGCCACCGTATTAGTTTTATGTGGTGTACGGCAGTGTTTCATATGTATTGCTTGCGAAACTCCTCTTCTAGTTCCCTTTCTACGGTGCCACCAGAGCTCTCACTTACATTTTAATCGAAATTATAATGTAATGAATTGCGAATTGCATCCAATAAGAGCCTGGAATATGCAAAATGTAAGAAGGCAAATAAAGAATATTATCAACAGTTGAATTAAGAAAAACTCTAAACGTAAAGTGAGTAATGATTGAAGTTTGCCCATTAATGCGTTCAATCGAATCAGACATAATCTTAGTGTATTATCTAAACGTCATATTCCAAAGGTTGAAATGGAAACATTTAAAAAAAGTTATCCTTATTGCAATCATATAGCATCAGATTGGATTTTACAACATAGTCAACTATCAAAATAGAAACTAGATGTAATAATCGTATTAAGCATAACCCTTCAACGAAAAATTCCTTTTATTCAGTTGTATGAAATAAGTGCCTAGCAGAATTCAAACCTGCAACCTCTCGCTAAGGCCGTTTCATACCAATTAGACCATGGAGACTTTTAGGGTGCATTTGCAGATATAACCCCCAGGAACTTTCTCTCATACAACTGACTAAATCGTCGCACATAGTGATAAGCTAGAAATGTTTATAGGTCGCAGTATGGAAATCATAATAAATATATCCATGATGCGTCCTTGCCTTTACCCAGTTTTCAGGGTAAACAAACGGCCCGGTTCCGACCCCACCCCTCCCCCTATTTTGAAAAGTTAAAAGAAAGGAAAAAAAGAAACAAATGATAGCCCAGAACGCCTGAAATGTAATTTTCGGGCGCCTAAAACACAAACATTTCGTGGGGAATGCCCCCTGACCCCCTAGTATAGTGTTATCTCGATCGGCCAGATGTGTATAAGAGACAGGATGCAAAAGATGTAAATTCTATAGGCNNNNCTTGGCAAATGTCAGAAGTTTATGTTCTTTTAATTTTTTTTTTCATTTCAGAAAGTCGTTAAATTTTGTTTAAATCAGTTCTATTTATTTACACTTTTAGTTATTTCAGTATAAGCATTTAATGATACTGAAGGTAGCATGAGGCACGAAGCTAAACAATTATATACACAAAAAATGAATAGAACCAATATTAAAAAGGAAATATTTGGTACACTAAAATCTAAAGAAAAATAATTCTTTCAAAATATATTTTAAAGTTTTATGACCTACATATATTTAAAAACCAAAAAAAAAAAAATACAGGAAAATTAAATTTTATTAAAAAAAATATTGGCAGTTGTCATATTAATATTGTATTTCTTCTAGAACTCAATATCGATTGAACAATTGTTACAGCAACATGACGACACTGAAGGATTTACGAGATCAGCTTTGCCAGTTTTCTTGTCATTTCACGTGGAATCTTGAGTACAAATCTATAAAACAGTTTCAGTCGTTGATGAATTTGGTTAACGAGCACGTTGCTGAGTCGCCAGCTATGGTGATTGAGGGTCGCCTTTTCAAAAGCTACCTGTTCTTCTCTGACTTCAAAGGGAACGTTGAAAAGCAAAAATCTGCAGCAATTGAATGCCTGAACGAAGTACGTACAATTCTTCAACATAGTCCAAGAGAGGCACCCCTTAAGGATGGTTATTTACTAATTACTTTGGCTCTTGAGGCCTGGCTTGATCGCGATAAGACCAAACTTGAACCCAAGATCAGTACACTGAAGAAACTTGAATCAAAATACGAAGCTGGCTCTTCTGATCGGGATATGTTTTTAGGCAGCATACATGCAACAAAAGGATTCGCCTTTTCACGCTTGGGCATGACTCGATATTCCGAGAGTATTGAGCAATTTCAAAAAGCGGTAGAAATGTGTCCACACGAAAAAGATTGGTGGTTTTCGCTTGGACTTATCATATGGAGGAAAGGCAAAGCATCTGTTAGACGCAATGAATTATGTGACGATATGAAATTAGCAGAGGGTATTTTCTATGATGTTCTCAAAATGGATCGCAATCACAGCTATGCAATGGTTTTGATAGCAGATATAAAGCGAAGAAAACGCAAAACAAGAAAAGCAGAATACTTCTTGAAAAGTGCTCTAAGACCTAAACCCACACGTGTAAAAATAATTGGTGAAGTGGCACAGGTATACAGAAGGATGAACAATTTTGATGAAGCACTAAGCGTTATACACAACGCCGATTCAGAGCCAAATTCATTCATCTATCACCAACTATACCTTTTGTACAGAGATAGGAATGTTTCACCAACAGTCGATTATCTACAAAAGGCCATTGATGCAAATCCCTGTAATCTCGCCGCAAGATTTGATCAAGCTAAAAAATATATTACCGAAAAAAATTACGATAAAGCTCGGGAATGCTTTGATCATATTCTGGATAATTTTGGAAGTGACTCAGATGCAGTAATTCAAACAAATTTTGATTTCGCAAAGTTCTTGGTACAAATAAACGAACGTGATAGTGCAATGGATAAATATCAAGCACTTTTGGACGAAGCATTGATAGCGTGTAAAGAAAACAATGATCCACCTTTTACTTATTTTAAAGAGATTGATTGGATTGTTCGAAAAGCTATTTCAGAGCTCAGACTCTACTTTGAAGATCAGCTGAAAGGGAATAGAAATGTTAAGGAAGCACTTTTAAAGTTAGCTGAGTTGGAGAAGAAACTCGGAAATCATTACAAAGCATGCAGATACTACGAACAAATAATTGAAATGCAACCACCTATCGATACAAGTCTCAGGTGGACAATCCTTGAATATCTAAGTGAAATTAAAACTAGAAAGACTCTCTTTACAGATGTCGATTCCATTATTATGGATATGGAACAGATCAGTCTTCAAAACCCAAAACCTGACATTCTCCACAAGTGCAAGGCAAATTTAGCTGTTGAGAAAGGAAAAAATGCCCTCCAGAGTGGAAAAGAAAATTATGCTATCAATATGTTTATTGAAGCAGTGAAATTTGGTAGTTTAGCAGGAGCAAGGTTGCTTCTTGATGAAATTAAAAAGATGGATAGAGGAAACAGAGATTTCTACACAATTTGTGCTCAGATTATTGTTTGCATTGAACAGAGTGACGACAATGAAACAGCGAAATTGAGGAAAGATCTTGACACTTTACTTTCTGGAGATACATCTGATATAGGTGTTGTTTTATGCGACCTAAGAAAAACACAAATTAATTTGGAGAAGTGTTGTATAATGCAAGACGAGACACAAATCGCTGTCTTCAGAGTTGATATCATTCACAAGTGCCGCACAATACTCAACCAGACCATGGCGAAGTTCAAGGATCGTCATTATGCACATGTCAACATCTCATGTGACTTTTTCAACATTCCGAAATGTTCTTCAGCAAAGGTGGAAAACCAAGTCAGAAATAGGCTTCAAAAGAAGTATGGATGGAGCCAGTTTGAATGCAGGTTCCCAGACCTTTTCCAATTCCTTGTTTCTGTAAGTATCAGTATTATTAATATATTTATCTTTTCACCTAATCTTTTCAAAAGATATTTATCTAACGGTTCTCAATGCACCAAATACGCAATTTAGAATTCTAATTTCTCTCCAGTAACCTGTGGTGTTCCGCAATTATTGTCTTACTTATTTTGTACATCAATGACATCTACAAGTCTTCTAATTTGCTCCTAAAAATATCGAATCATTTTTTGTTAATGTAAATCACCATATGACTCTTATATCCCAATACTTTTCTAGTAACAAGCTCTACATTAACCATAAAAAGTGCAATTTCATCCTGTTTCAGAATCCACAAAAAGATAAATTCATTAATAGTACTCTGTCCACAATAGTTTATTTTATAACTACGTTATACATCATAACTAAATGTATACATCAGGTCAATAGGTGTCTAGCTTGATAGTGGATTAACCTGGAAAACACCTTAGAATCTAGTATTAAACGTATTTTATATTGCTCTTGAATTCTTTCTTATCTGAGCTACTGTAACATCGTTTGGGCTAATAGAGTATGAAACTTCAATCCATTCAAAAGAGGGCTATCAGGACTAATATCTGGTGCCCCAACGTGGTCTCCTTCGTCTCCTTTACTTTTTAATCATCGGTGATGTGGAGACCATAGCTTACCGTGGCCTAATATAAGCTACGATCTCCACTTCACCTCAGAGCAATAAATTTTACCATTCCCCTTTTGAGCAGTCAGAATTTGTATAATATTCTATGAACTTTCTTTTTCACAAACATCGGTATTTTTTTCTGTATTTCTAATCTCTCTCAGTAGAGTTAGGTCTGAACTCTCTATTCCCATTCACTTTCAACACAATATAAGATTTCCTGGTCTGAGTTTATGAAAAAATTTACCCCTAACTAATTATTTTTTTTTAACTAATTATCAATTCGCATTATGAAAATAAATTTTCGACTAACATGAAAAAACACTTATTGCCTTGTATTAAATAATTATATTACATTTCCCCCCTAAAACCATCTCCAACAATTCGTCTTCTCAGTCAGAGTTTTTGTCCTTTTCTGTTGCGTTTTATTCTCTTAGTTTTTTGTCTTGATTAATCCGTCCTTTTGTCACGTTCTGTATCGTCTGTATTCTAACTACTAAACATAGTGGTTCTGTATTCTAACTACACATAGTTGTTTGACTCTAGACTTCTGGATGCTGTTGTATTAATATACAATTTAGACAAAATAATGTCTATAGGCCTAACCCATGCCGCGCTACAATGGTTATTAGCAAATTACAGTGCCAGGATAATATTTAAAGTAAACCTTACGTTAACTAACAGACATTGGAACTTAAAATCATATCTAGTGATCCGTAGTTGTTAGCTCTAGATGAGCAGCGTTATTGTATTAAGCATTAATAAAACTGTTAAAGTTAGTGTAAGTAGAATTATTAATTCTACTTACACTAACTTTAACAGTTATATAACTGTTAAAGTTAGTGTAAGTAGAATTATTAATTATTGCACAAATATAAATATAGAAAAAATCCAAATGTACACATTGTTAAATACACAGATATTTTACTTTAGCTTTCAGAAAAATGATAATATCATGTTCATATTTAACTGAGATCCCATGTTTTTTGCAGATTCAACCGGCTTCAAATCCACACGATAATAACTGGATGTTCGCTTTGCTAAGAATGGATAACGCAAATAAACACGAAAGTGCCCTCGGAGAGAAACTGAAAGTAGAGGTGTATTCAGACAATGCAGGTAACATGGCAGAGCAAGAATTTACGACCTTAGAAGTCGCTAAGGATGCTTGTAACAACATCGGAAAAATCTTGAATGAGTTTTATAAACATTTGTAGGTAAATTCATGTAATCTAATAGTTATTTAGCTTACTAATTTGGAAGAACAAAGCGAGTATACGTCTTTGTTGGCGCGTAGCAATTGAATCCAGGTAACTAATTAAGTTGTATGTACCTTACGTATTATGGTGCGTAATGATTGCTGTCTTGGGTATATCCTTGGTATTCAACCCGAGGCCCCAAAGATTTTTTATCCAGCCCGCACAACATTGCTAAAAAATTAATCATTTTTCCGGTCAATTGTCTGTACTTAACATTCTGTTAATAGAAACACGCCAACCTACATTGTTCAACAAGAGAAGTGGCGTATCCAGGTTTTGTGAAATTTGGTGATAAAAGAGTTCGGACCTCGTCAACGCCACCATTGCTGGCGCTGAGGTGTAAATATTTTCAGTGTTTTGTACATTAGGATGCCCGAAAATGGAACTTAAATTACCCTTTTAAATTGTTTTTATATTTTATGAAAACCATTTAAGATAATATTATACTTTTTAATCTATTTGAATGATGGGTGTGGTCTCATCACTAAATGACCAGAATTATTGGTAATCATCCATATTACAGTATTCTAAAACAATCAAAGAAAAATATATGTCAATAAATCAATATAAAGCTGGTGTTGGTCACTTGGATATACTGCAGGATTAAGCTAAATAATATTGAATCCCAACACGATGGCGTGAGTTTCAATACTTGGAGTATGTATTATACTTTCTTTTCTGAGACTAATTCAGTGGACCTTTCGGTTTGAAGCTATTCCCGTATGATTAAAAATCATAAGGGTACTGGGTTTGGTCTACAGAAGTTCGTGCTTCGAACAGGTCATTCCATTCATAGAAGAAGCCTTTTGATGGAGAAAGTGTACCTATTAGCAAAGGTTTGCCCAGATCGAAACTAACTCCGGTTATATAAAATTTATTATAAGATTGAAAAATATTAATCTTATTATTGTAATATTGATAGATACTATGTACACGTTTAAATTATTGATATTTATTTGTTATGTCATTATACATTATTTACATTTAAACTTAATGTATTGTTTAGGTATGAATTACTATATCCATGTAAAATTAATCTTATCAAATAAAATTGTATATTCTAAATAATATAGTAGGCATAGCCGAGGTCTAGCATAGGCTAGGTCAAACGAGTGACTATATCATGCGAGTGTATAAAATTATGGTGAATATGAATAAAACGTAAAATTGTGAAAGAATAAAGGAAGAAGGAAGAAAAGGAAAGAGATTTGGAGCGGCTGAAATTATTTCCGAAAAATATACAATAGTAGTCAATATGCTATTATTGCATTGCGTTTTTGTAAGCAATTTTGGGCACTAATCATCAGAGGTCTCGGTGCCATAGCCTACACTTTTCATAATTGGGAAGTTAAATGAGACTTACCTGTAAGTTGAAATTTAACTGGAATTCTGTTCCCTCCTTCTCCGGAAGTAGTGGTAACATGAGATGCGACGCATGCGTACAATTATATTTAAAAACTTGAGGAAACACTGAATTTTTGTCTCAAAAATAATAAAATCCCAAAGACCATGTCCCAAGCCACTCTATGGCTTTAAGGGATGGGAGAAAACTGTTGGGAGGGCATGTTACCACTACTTCCGGAGGAGGGAACAGAATTCCAGTCAAATTTCAACTTACAGGTAAGTCTCATTTAAGTTCCCAATTCTTTTTTCCATCCACTCCGGAAGGAGTGGTCCCATGAGATGTTTAAAAAGAGTGTTTCCGAAACCACACCCTATTTGGATAGGTCACACCAAATAAATGATATAAACATACAAAAATCCAACTGTTACCTCTTTTATTTCACGTTTCCTCAAACACAAACAGGCTCAGCCTGTACACTTGTTATTTGACTAATAATAATGTAATAAACGGTTTCAACCTTAACTCATAAACATCTAAAACCCAACTGCTGATAATTTAATGCTCACAAACTTAGTAATGGACTCCCAGTAACAGTGTGAATATCCCTTTAACTCCTAAGAGCCATTAGATAAAGGTTTATAGTAAAATTTTGCAAACGTGCTCACGTTCGACCTTCCTGCAGTTTTCAGTATAGTACCTATGGGTACATTCTGTCTCAGAGCAGCCGAAGTAGAGGCCGCCCTGGTACTATGTGGTGTAAAAATTGACATGCTTATACCCGCCTCTATTAATGAGCATTCTACCCATCTTGAAATAGTGGCTTTTGAAATTTCTCTATGCGGTTTTTGAAAACTTATGAACAACTGAGTATTTTGTCCTCTTATGTGTTTTGTTACTTATAAGTATTCCTTAACACAAGACATCACACATTTGGATTTTTCGGGGAATGCTTAAATTTCAATCTCACCCTAGTGAAACCCTGGTCTCGTTTGTTTTAAAATGTCCCCAAATCTGATCTTCAAAAATTGTTCTCCCAGTGACATATTACGGATATCTATAGTGTGCAAAATCTGTGCTCTCTGAGCTGTTAACAAAGCTAACAATGTGACTGTCTTAATGAGGCTGTATTATTGTCCAGTCTACTCAAGTGTTTTAAAACAATTTCTGGATCCCATGTGACTGAATTTCATGGAAGAGCTAGTCTTAACTGGAAAACTCCTTTCATGAATCTTTTTACCAAAGGTATATTCCCAAACTGCATGCCATCAATGGATATGTATTTTGATAGGGCTGAACGTATAGTGTTCAATTTACTGTAACTTGCCCCTTGATTGTATTCTGCAGTCATAAACAATAATACCTGGTTTACTGTTGGTGTAAAGCTGTCAAACCCTCGATTATTTGCAAAGTCCGACCATTTCCGGATATATATGTATATATATATCATACTGCTTCTTTTTTGCTGTCTCTCCACGATGCCATTATATGTTTTGTGTGTCTGTTGGTAGCCGTTCAATCGTCTTCCGGACAGCAGACATGCCCAGAGCCTCATTTTTGGTAGTTCCTTTTCTTTCAGTGATGGATGGTGTAATATCTGATCTGTGCTGGGGAGAGGAATAACATCATCTATTAGCATACTCAAAAGTTTAGGAAACCAGGCCTGTGTTGGCCAATTTGGTACTATAATCATAATCTTGTTTGTTTTATCTAATTCTATTTTCTGCAAAATTCTTTTTATTAGTGAAAATGGGGAGAAAACATATGCATATCCCTCCCACTTTAGTGTGAAGGCATCCACTGCAAATGCAAATGGATCTGGTTTCCATGATACAAAGCATGGTAATTGCTTGTTTAACCTTGATGCAAATAGGTCAATACTTGGCATGCCCCATGTTTCCGTTAGTCTCTGGAATATCATAGGGTTTAATTGCCATTCAGAATTTTCATGTTCACCATTCCCAAATGTCCCGTGCCAAGTCATGAAGTACCATGTTTCTGCCTCCCCTGTTGTTTATGTAGGCGATTGCAGTGGTATTGTCTATGTTTAAACGGACATGCACATTGTGTACAGTTTTACAAAAAAAATCTTAATGCAAACCAAGCTGCATTTAATTCTAAATAATTTATGTGTTCCTCAGCTTCAGCCGCTGACCAGTTCCCTCCTGTATTATTTTGGCAAGTACTTATATAACCTGCTTTAATCATCGGTGAACGGGGTTCTAACACACCTCCCCATCCCATTTTTGATGCATCAGTTGTAATGTAGACCTCTGGATGTTTATGGTCAATTACTTTATATTCTCTATATATATTTGTATTCCACCATAATAATTCCCTTTTCATGTCACTGGTAATATTAATCTTTGACTCATATTTTCCATGTGACTTTCTTAGTGCTACATTTTTCTGATGCTGTAGATGGCTGTAATATAGTTTGCCATACTGAACTCCTGCTAAGGATGCTACCATATTACCTATGCATTCTGCAGTACATTTTATTGTGGTGTCATTTGCTAGTAACAGATCATAAGTTATTTTAGCAATTTTATCACATTTTCTTTTTGTGAGGGCAATAGTCATTTCCCTTGAATTAAGTATGAACCCTAAATATTCAATCTCTTGGGTCGGTTCAATTATGGATTTTTTAGGATGAACTATGAATCCTAATTTTTCTGATAATTCTATGGTACACATCACATTTTTCCTACAATCCTCTACTGAATTTCCAAATAAAAGCTAGTCGTCCATATAAGCAGCATTTATATACCCTTTACTTCGTAATGTGGCATACATTGGCTTAGTTATTTTTGTAAACTCTCTTGGGGCTGATGCTAGGCCATTGGGAAGAGCAGTATACTTGTATACCTGCCCTTCAAATTTGAACTGGAGGTATTTTGGAAAATCCTTATGTACTGGAATTGTGTAATAGGCATCTTTATAGTCTATTGAGGCCATATAGCAATTTTTGCTCATTAATGCTATTGCTGTTTGTAGCGTTTCCATCTTAAAGTGGCGGTACATTATGTGTTCATTAAAATTTTTCAGGTTCGATATCAACCGAAATTATCGATCTTTTTTCTCCCTTATACAAATATTGGAAGAAATACCCTTAGGGTCTAGTTCTGAAGGTGCAATAACCTTCTTTTTAATGAGTTTCTCTAACTCGGTTCTAATATTTTCCATCTCATTATTTGAAAATTTATATTGTCTATTATTTGTGGATCTTAGAATATCTAATTCATCCTCCTTTCCTTCATCAAACTCTATTTTAATACCTTGCCCTACTGCTTGTAAAATATGGCGGTCTGAATTAATTTTTGCCCACTCATTTAAGCAATTCTTTGTATTGCCGTCCTGAAAAGTTTGGATTTTCTGTTCCCTTAGAACATTAAACTTAAGGAATTGTTTCCGATATAAATGGGGGATGTCTCTCACCTCATTATTTAGTGTTTACCGAGCACCCCCCTCCTGGCGTTTTTTGACTTGCGGAGTGGTTTTGACGATGTTGGTTGCTTTCCTTGCCGTTTGTACGGCCCATAATACCGAGCTTTCGTTTGAGGACGGTGAGCGCACAGTACGGAGGAACCAACAGACCGTGACCGTACTCGCAACCAAGCTTCCGTCCTGTTCAGAAGTTGTTTCGTTTCCGTTTACGCGACGGGGGAATATGCGTGCGAACGCGCGCCCTCACTTTAGTTACCAAAACATGGCGAACTTGCACAGAGTTCAAGAGGCATTTGTCGTCGCTGCGTAGGCATTATTATAGGCTAGGCCTAGGCCGGACGTACCTTAATAAATTAGGGCCTAGCTAGACCCAGGCCAGGCTAGAACCGAGCCGGGGCTGTCCATCTAGGCCTACAGGTACATCTACATTTACTAGGGCTATACGACTTGGCTAAATCATATTCATCCTAAATTTATGTGTTGTATCACTGACTTTGAACATGAAACCATAATTTCATTAAAGTGTTATCATAAGTTAACAACGAGATACATCAGTCACCAATCCTGACTCCATTGTAATCGCCTTTACACTCGCCGCGTGATGCTGACATAGAAGACAACCTCTTATCGTTGCGTTCTAAACCGGACGCTATTTTCAGTCAGAACCGTCCTCAAATTCCGCGGTACGGTGAGATGCAATCCTTCACGCATGCGCAAATGAATTTTCGGCTCTAATTACCGTACTAGATTTCTCCCGTACTGAAACGAAAGCTCGCAATTGTTCTCGGTAGTACGGTTTGTATCTCCTCTGGTCTGGTCCGTAGCTTCTTTTGACCAATCGTTTGCTGAGTTTATTGGTGTCCTCCAGATCCTTTAACGTCTTTGCAAGTTCTGACTCCTCACCAAG